TGCAGCCCAGGAGCAGAGGTCCCTGGGACCATCAAGTGAGAAAAGCAGAGAGTGTGACCCTACCCAGAGAGGCAGTGAAGCCAGGCATGGAGACAGAGATGATGACATGGACAGATGGAGTGGCTGGAGACACGGGACTCAGGGGGGGCAGGCCTGTAGGGTGTATCCTTTGGTTATTTGATGATGCATGGTGGGGATTGTAATTATTGCAATGAAATGAAATATGATAGGATGAATGTGAAGCTAGCTGAAGTGGGACAGAGGTAAATAATGATTATGCACAAGCTTGGAACAACAGGGCTCTGGGATAAAGGAATTGAGACATGGTTGGAATGGGGAAAAGAGGAAAAATAATGTAAAGATACTTGGCTGTCTTTTGAATCTTGGTTTCCCTGGCATACCATTATAAAATAGAAACTTGAGGAGGAGAGAAAGGAATAGCCAGAAATATCACCATAGAAAGCGTGTAAATCTGTATTCTGCCTATAAATGATTGGAATACCTAAAATGGGGCTACAACGTTCCCAGTGAAGGAGGCTTCCTGCAGAGACTCTGCATTACATAAGACTATAGGTGGAATCCTGAACAGCATCCAGAATCTTCTGAGGTGGGAAATTTCCCCTTGAAAGGATAAGCAGAGCAGCCTAGAGTGGCTAGAAGAACAGAAGATACTTCTTGAAAGAAAGACCAACAAATACTTCTTGAAAGAAAGGCTGACAGGAAAAATACAAAACAGTATAGGCAGACCGACTGATTACTACAAGAACAAGCAAGTGGCTCACCAAGGACACATCAAGACAAGTGGTCAGGTCCCCTCAGGGCAACTCTCCTTCTAAGACTAAGACTCAATGGGAATATACACTCTGGTGACCACGTTTGTCACCGATAAGGGGAAGTGAGGGAAAAACAGCAATGAAGCTGTGAGCTAAGCCTTACAACGTTCAATAGACTCCTGTAAACCCAGCTGGAGACCAGGTTGGCCAGCAGTGTGGCAAGACCTGGGGACTCTTGGGCCCAGAGTCAGTGACATAGCCACAGAGAACAAGAGTAGAGAGTGAAACGTCCAGCTGATAAGAAGAGAGGACATATGCATAAGTATACCCACACTTGCAGATAATAACCACTTGACCTGGCTTCAATTACTGGATGATCAGAGTTCAACCAGAAGAAGGAAGAAGAGGAAAAAAAGAGTAATCTGATACAATTTGATGAACTTGACCTATGGATGCAGTAGCTCAAAAAAGGGAACAAATCTTCACATCCAGGATCTTTCCCACCTCCTACATACACAGAGTGAACAGGGATGGGCAACGTGGACATTGGCTACCCAGAATGGTGGGGCTACAGAGGCAAGAAGTGACTGGCTTACAAGCTTTCAAGAGGGAACCTAGATCCAGAGAGCATGGAACAAGGTAGAATCTCCACTGAGTAGTATCCAATCTGTCTAGGCAGGGCTGATGAAAGGAGATGTGAATAAGATTCTTGTGATACAATAGTGAATAATTGTTATCAGGACTGACTGTGAGGGTTGGAAATGTAAAGGTAGATGTTTTGTAGCAAAAAGAGGGGAGTAATTAACTTTGCAGTCTAGGAGCGGAGGTCCCTGGGACCATCAAGGGAGAAGAGCAGAGAACGGAACCCTACCCCGAGAAGCAGTGATGCCAAAGATGGATGCAGAGACTATGATGTGGAAAGATGGAGTGGCTGGGGACTTTAGATCCAGAGAGGGAGAGGGGCTGTGTGCTGATGACTGGGGGTGGGGGGTGGGGGCAGGCTTGCAGGGTATACCATTTGGTTGGTTGATGATGCATGGAGGAGATTGTAACCATGGCAATGAAAAGATATACGATAGGATGAATGTAAAAGCTAATGTTCTCCCATGTAAACTATCACATAATTCACAATAAAACATTTAAAAAAGTCTTAACAAGCAAAAAAATAAATAAATAAAAGTACAAAATATTACTCAATATTGCACCCAATTGTTTTATTGAATTAGACACAACTTATTTTTACAATGAATTAGCTTTTAAATATTTTTGGATTTTAAACATCTGTTTTACCTCTAACCATATCCTCTCCCAACACAAATGGCCAGCTCAAGGATCCAATATCCATTTTAAAACATTGTTGTCAATCTGAGGTCAATGTTATATTCTCTAAAGCTATTGTCTTATTTATCCAAGTACCTTACATGATGTTGACAGGGGCTGTTTTCAGGTGAAGGGTTAAAGTAAACTGGAATTTTACTCATACGTTTAATTAAAAAAACAAAAAACAGTAATCTGCCTGCCGTCTTTTGTCCTTTGTTGCATGCTGCCACTCACAAGTCCTCTTGGTCTTTGTGACATGTCCTCTCAGAGCCTCAGCACCCCCAATGGCATGAGTGATGTGAAGCAAACTCTGGTAACGTAGTGGTTACGAATCAGGCTGTGAACCACAAGGTCACCAATTCGAAACTACCAGCTGTTATGCAGGAGAAAGATGAGACGTTCAGCTCCCGTAAAGATTAACAGTCTCGGAAACCCTGTACAGGGTTGCTATGAGTCCGGACCGACTCCACAGCATCTAACAACAACAACAACAACCCTCACTCAGAGGAGGAAAGACTGAGCAAAGGGGCTCAGAGCCCAAGATTCATCAGAATCAGTGGTACGGGGAAGGGAGGGTAGGGCCATGGGCTAAGCACATTTGTCCCTTTGCTTAATACCCAAACAATAGCCAAACTCTAGGAAACCTCATCTTTTTACCCAGTTCCCTTCCCAGGGAAGATTTACACCATCTATCAATCCAGGTTTAGAGTCTTTTATCCCCTGTTGTTGTTCTTATGTGCTGTGGAGTCTGTTCCAACTCATAGCGACCCTGTACTGGGTTTCTGAGGCTGTAAATCTTTACTGAAGCAGAAAGCCTTATCTTTCTCCTGCAGAACAGCTGGTAGTTTCGAACTGCTGACCTTGCAGTTCGCAGCCCAATTTGTAACGACTACACTACCAGAGCTCCTTATTTCTCCCCTAGCCCCTCATTTATGCCCTTATTTATCTTGTCAGTAGGAGGAGGTACAAACTGCCCCTTGCGATGTCACAATGGTTTCCCCAAACTATTGTCACTCTTTTGGTGTCCTTTACCCTAAGTATAGGCACAAGTTCCTCCTCCAGTTTTCCAACACTGAGATCAGACTGTAACTCGTACAACACGAAATTTACAAAAGAGAAAAATCTTAAAAGTGAATGTGGTACAACTACACAGAGTGCCTGTAGGCCCAGACCTCCATAATTTCAGCCTGCCTGGAGAAATAGTCCCAGCTCTCATCTAAGCTGTTGTGTCAAAAAAAAGGACCAGGGAATGGGAAGAAATCTTTTTGAACAATAAGAAGGGTTTTCTTATCAACCTCAACTTTCTGGCTATGGAGTAAGCAAAAGGCAAGAAGTGGGACTCCACAGAGAAGATGGGAGATGAGTATGTGACTCTCAAATTTGAACCATGCCAGTAGAAACTGAACAACAACAATGTGCTGCTAATGAAAAAAGCTTTACCAGAAACCTCAGTTCAGAGGACCAAATGAAAAAGAACTGGGAAAGAAGAAAATTCTTCCTATTCACAAGAGAATGCACAAGGCAATGATAGGCAAAAATCTCAGAAAACTCGAGTTCCTCCACTACCAGCAAATCTACCACCAGTTAACCTGTTTCACCATGAAATTGTGCAGGCCTGGTGCCAACAATTAAAACTGAGCACCAAAGAGCAAAAATTAGAAGCTTATAGAAGACTCTGTGAGCATGCTTACCCAAATCAAAAGAATAGTCCTGCCACAGCAAAAGAAGCCAATATCCAGACATGGTTACAATATAAATGAAATGTTATTGTTGTTAAGTGCCATCAACTAGGTTCCAACTCATAGCAACCCTATACAGAGTTTCCAAGGAGCGACTGGTGGGCTTCAACTGCTGACCTTGCAGTTCAAACAGGCTTTGCAGTGCCACACCAGGACTCCAAACCACATGTTTTGTTGTTGTTTAGTGACATCAAGTCAAGTCTGACTCAAAGTGACCTTACACAGGGTTTCCAAGGAACAGCCGGTGCGATTGAACCACCAATCTTTTGGTTCAAACCAACCTTCCGGTCCACTGCTTTATCCCACAGCATCAAACCAGGACACTACAAATCAAATGTGGACCAGGGGAAAACACCTCTGAAGAGTTCTAATAAAAGGAAGATCCGTTCTGAGAAAACTGATTCTCCTGAAGTGGCTCCTCCCTCTTAGGAGGGGCACCTTCCCTTGACTATTCTCTCTTGAAGAGAGATAATACAGTTGTGGTAACCCCTTCATCCCAGAAGGCTGTGTTGGTCTCATGGACAAGATTCAGGCAGTCAAATCACCATAAGAGACAGAAGACTGGGTTCAACTGTAGTTTCATGCTGGACAAGTCTGGGTTCCTGAAAAACCAGGGTAAGTGAGTGCTCTCTTCTGCAATTTTCTACCTCTGCACCTGGAGGACAATATGTTGTGCTCCAAATGTGTCCAGAGGAACAAGATATTAATAAAAAGCCTCCAATGAGACTAGAATATCTGGAGGGAAAACATTTCTATATTACAATGAATAATTGAACAGTCACCATAATGGATTCCATGGAACCAATGACAGTTAATCTTCAGTATACATCCTCCCATATTCTTACCTGCAGTGTGTACAGATGGGCAGGGTTGCAATCTGTACACTGGAGTCAACTCCCTACCACATTTGCTTGCTTCTTCCTGAGTTAGGATACAGAAAAAATGCTAATATTTTTAATTAGGAAAACTTCACAAACAACCATTCATTACAGCTAATAAAATGGGACCTAATTCAAGAGACAATAGTTTATTATAGAAAAGAAAATTGCTGGCGGCCGCAGCATACATAATCAGCACTGAGAAGTTGAGGCACAAGGATAACATGGACGAAAATCCAGTCTTTGAGCCCTCCTTAGGCTTACAGGCCATGGACCCCGAGGGCCAGGGAAGTAACTCCCTGAAGTCCCGGGTTCATAGGCTTTGGAGAACTCACTGTTTGGCCACCTCTGTGCAATTTTCTTTAATTATACTTTTGTGCATTCTGTACTTGTTCTTTATGCTCTTAACTCCGGTAATTGTAGCTTCTGGGAAAGTGATTGTTTTCAATAATAATATGCACAACGTTTTGATCAATGGCTCTCATGTAAATGTCACTGCCCCAGTAACAAGAGTTGTGCATGAGACTTTGAGAAATAAAAGTACAAAAAAGCAGGATGTAGCAACACAGAGAATATGTAACAATTGTTTTCTAACCAATTATTCAGTTAAACACATATGTGAGCTGTTAATGTCCATGTACAATAATCACACTGAAACTAGTGCATGTTTGTTATGCTCTTGATGTTTTTCATGGGAATTTTGCTGTATGTGATAATTTTATGTACCCCCAAACCACCTCTGGGCATAACTATTGCAATCATAATACTTTCTTGGGGAATCCTATTATATGTGGTAGTTTTATGCACTACATATAATCCCCCATTGCTTGATTATTAAATAATTTGGATGTGAAGGAATAAACTGTAAATTGTCACCTTAGATATTTGAATTAAATAGTAAAACTTCTGCATATGTTTCACGAGAAAAGCTGCTTGGGCTGATCGTATGAATTAGAACAATGGTGACTGCTCCTCCAAACTGCTCCCAGGTTTGATCAATATGATTTAATTACTCCTCTTCCCCCTGAGGGTATATTGGAAATATAATAGTAATGAACATTGTTATATCTAGATATAGAAACTGGAATACTATTAAAAGAATGTAAAAGTGAGACCACACCTTCTTTGAAAAGTCAAAACCTGTTTTTCACCTTCCCTATAATTGTAGAAGCAAGGAGAAAAGAATCATTAGTTTAACAATGGAAGCTAGGTATCTGAAATCTTGTTCACTAACAAAAGCATGTATTTTTTGCCTGCAAAAGACACAGAAGCAGTTTCAGTTTCTTTAGAAAGTATAACTTAGTCTTTAGTAAAAACTCTAAAGCCTCTCACCTTTACCCACTTGTGATTAAGTTTTGAAAATATGTTAAACACCTTTGAGAAACCGCAAGTTGCTGCCCTAGGTTACACAGACCTAGAAGTTAATATATAATCTATAATTGCTTGCTTGAACTTTTTTACAGAAATAAGAATATTAGGTAAATCATGATGTACGCAAAAATATGTTAAGGATAAATTTGTGAATCACTGTGTCTTGTATCACATGAATGATCTCGTATCCTGTCCTGAGTGAATAATCAACATTTTTGTCATTATTTTCTTTTGTGTCAATTTCCTTCTTCTGACAATAAAAGACTGGGGCTCAGCTAGCTTAGTGCGCTAGCTTGTCTGTCAGCTTGCATCAATCTTTTGTCTCTGTCTGTTTTCTTTCGCCTACTAGACATCCCACTTCCGTTAAACCCCGTGTTTGCCGAGGTGATCCTTTGTTGAGGCGGGACCCTGACTCAGGACCCCCTGCAGTTGGCGCCCAACATGGGGCAGTGACATTTACATGAGAGCCATTGATCAAAACGTTGTGCGTATTATTATTGAAAACAATCACTTTCCCAGAAGCTACAATTACCGGAGTTAAGAGCATAAAGAACAAGTACAGAATGCACAAAAGTACAATTAAGCAAAATTGCACAGAGGTGGCCAAACAGTGAGTTCTCCAAAGCCTATGAACCCGGGACTTCAGGGAGTTACTTCCCTGGCCCTTGGGGTCCATGGCCCGTAAGCCTGAGGAGTGCTCAAAGACTGGATTTTCGTCCATGTTATCCTTGTGCCTCAACTTCTCAGTGCTGATTATGTATGCTGCGGCCCCCAGCAGAAAAGAAAGGGAAGTTACTTACAAGGAACAAAAACAAAACAGCTGTTTCCAGTGGTGGCCAGCTGGACAGTGAAGTTTTTCCATGTGAGGGGCATGGGCTAAGATCTTTTTATATCTTGATATATACACGCTTCACACGTGTCAAGGCAGTTAAGGGTGGTATGTGGAACAAGGACAGTGTAGCACAGGGCTGCCTGTCCTTTCCTAGGGAATAAAGGGTTTTGGTATACATAGCAGAAGAAAAGGGCTATGGGCTCCTTCCTAACATATGCATAACTACAGCAGGAGAACAAGAAGTTTCTGTATGTGTAGCGGTAGGAGGGAGCTGTCTGCTCCTCCCTAAATAGCAGAAGCACTGGGAAGGGATAAGAGATATGGTTTTAGTTGACATTAGTGTGGCCATTTTGGAGCATTCAGGTTGTGTCCCTACACTTCACCTCAACGTTCCTAAGAGGTCTTTACAATCTTACTGCCAGACTTACGCACAATCCTTTGGGCATAGGCATTGGAGAATTGTAACCAAAGGCTACAGCAACAATATATACTATAACAAAGTACTATTTCTAAGCACAATATTCCCATAATTGATAGAAGTGTGTATCACCATGATGAGGGCAAAGAGCTAGGCCAGTAGATAACTTCTGGATTGTAGAAATGTGGCCCTGGTGATAATTGGATATATATACACAGTGTTCAGTAAGAATGTAAGCACAGGTGCTTCCCTGAGTGGCTGTGAAAATGTCCAGAGCCATGTGGTTCTGTAACACTACCTCACACATCTGCTCTATCTCAGCTGACAAGGGGAGAACCTGGTGGATTTCATTTAATTTGTGGCCATATGCTTTGCCAGGGCCTCAATTTGACATGCCACATCAATAAATTTAGTCCCAGAAACTGAGAGAAGGGATTTTTGGTGGGGTTTTTGTTGTTGTCATTTGGTGTTTTTTTACATTTTTATTGTGCATTGAGTGATAGTTTACATGGGAGAACATCCATTTGGCACTCGTTCTCTCTTATTTTGTATCATTGCAATGATTACAATCCCCTCCATGCAACACCATTCAACTGTAGTTGCATCTATTCCATTTGTTTTTGATGTACACAAAAACACTCAGGAATATGTTGTTGTTGTTACATACCATGGAGTCAGTTCTTACTCATAGTGACCCTCCACAGGGTTTCCAAGAACAGAAAGCCTCATCTTTCTCCCGCGGAACAGCTGGTAGTTTCGAACTGCAGACCTTAAGGTTAGCAGCCCAATTTGTAACCACTACGCTACCAGATTATATATTTAATCATTTAAATAACCAAAGGGCACATTCTGCAAACCTGCCTCCTGGCCACCACCATACAGCCTTTTTCTTTCCATAAGTATAGAGTCCTCAGCTGCTCTATTCTCGATGTCATCATCTTTGCCTCCATCTCTGGTGTCACTGCTACTCTGGATAGGGTCCCACATTCCACCCATGCTCTTCTCCCTTGATAGTCCTAGGGTCTTCTGTTCCTGGAATGTAAGATTAACTACTCCCTGCTTTATGTTACAAACCTACTACCTTTACAGTTTTGACAATCGCAATTAATCATGATTACAATTTCCCACTATTGAATCATAAGAATCTTATCATCATCACCTTTCACCAGACTCATCTAGACAAGATGAAAAATATTCAGTGGGGATTCTACCTTCCCCCACACTCTGAAACTAAACTCCCTGTTGAAAACTTGTAAGCCAGTCACTTCGTGACTTTATAGTCCCTCCCACCCCCATTTTAGGTAGCCAATGTCTACCTTCCCCTCTCAGTTCTATTTTGAGCTACTATATCCATAAGAATAGGTCAAGTTCCTCAAATTTCAGCAATACATTTATTTCCTTTATCAAATGTCTTTATCATCCTCTGTTCAGGTTCTGATCATGAAACCATCAAAGCTAGGTCAAATGGGTACTAAGCAAGTTTGGGCATTCTTGTGTGTCTCCCTTCACTTCATATCAGCTG